GCACGCCGAGGAGCGAGGTGGTGGATTATGATGTTACGCCGTTGGAGAAGGAGCTCGAGATGAGCTTTGGGGAGAATAGGAGGGCTTTTCCTTTTCCGACGAGGTGATGAGATGGTACCGACATAGGTTCCATACTCGCCTACGCTCACCACCTTCGATTACGATCGCCGCCCATGTATATATAGAAGTTTGTTTTGCATACCGGCCCTCTTGCGAGAGATACTAGGGGGCTCATTCGGCGTTGTGTCCTTCTTCTTCTTCTTCACTTTTATCTTCTAGTTCTTTCGTCATTGCATGCAACAATACGATGGGGGACGGAATATGCATATCAATTTGGATAACGGTTGGGAGTTGGGAGGGGCTTCTGTGATACCATAGATAACCAAATCAACAAAGACATTCGAGAATCTTCTTAATTCCAGCATCTAATCTTCTAGCAATCAATACGGTGAACAGGCGTTCTCGATCGTGAGCTGGAATGTACACCTGCAGTACCCCACATGCCACCCCCACTAAACAAGCTCACACGTCCGAGCTTCAGCCGAAAATGTAGGCTGACATCACCGATGCCGCACATGTTCGCGTCTGCGTTCCGTATCTTTCATCCAATTATCAACAAACATCGCGTCTCATTGCCCAACGAGACGCCCTTGACTGTCGGCGGTTTCGATACAATCTGTGTTTTGCTCAGCAACGTAAAGAGAGCGATTGAGAGATCAATGTCCACAACGCCGTCATGGTGAGACAACATGGTAGTTTGACAAAGGACGACGAGACGAATCAGGCGGCTTGGGAGGCGGCGAAGGGGGCGGCGATTGGGGGGACGAAGGTATGCTTTTCTCTCTCTTTTTTGCCGTTTTCGCTGTGTATGTGCATATGACAACTATTGTTGGAAAGATGGGGGTGCTGCATGGGGAAGAGAAGGAAGGGGAGTCGCGTGCGCCAACCATCTATGCATACCGAGATGTGTCTGTGGTCAATTGGCGTGTTTTGGTATGAAGGACGGTTGAGGTTGTAGAATCTATGGAGGAGAGGGAGGGATGAGAATGGTTTAGGGATTTTGATCAAGATGGGTTGGTAGTATGATGGCTGACCTCAAAACATAGTGGGGTGCTTTCTTCGCTGTGGCAGGCGGTGTTGCATACGCCTTTTCGCCTGTATACAAAGGTCTTACTGTTCAGTTCAAGACGTATGTTTCTTCCTTCTTACTTTCATCCTGTCCCATCAGCCACTCCACTAACCCAACGCAGCTACATACAAATGTCAGGCATGATACTCGGAGGGTACCTGGAAGCCGACAAGCGCATGATCAACTATCAACACCGCGTCCGACACCACAAGCGGGTTGCTAGGGATATGGAGATCTGGCGGCGGTACGAGGATTCTTATGAGGAGAGGGGGACGCCGGGTGTGGGTGCTGAGAGTGATGTGCATGGACCGAATGGGAAGGGGAATTGAGGTGCGGGATGATTGGGCGAATCTGCAGGAATGAAAGCTTGGTGTTTGCGCGGGTGAGGATGGCAAACAAGCATGACTGCTTCTCGCTATATGAATCATTCTTCTCCACCTCTCTCTGTGTCACACTCAACATCCGCCCTGTATTCCAACCACGCACGCATCCACCTAGAATGCCTACCGACTTCCAACCCCTGCTCAATATCTCCGACGATACTTACCCCCGTACAGCGGGCACGTGGGGTTTCTCAGGCACAATCACGCATCAGTATGCACTTCGCAAGAGATGGATACTGCTCCGCTTTGAGCAAGTAACAGGGTTCGCGTGTAGCCTATGCAAGCAGCAGAAGCAGGCCCATCTCGTAGCTGTAAAGGGTGTGCTGTGGGATGATATCGCTCTCAAGTCCTGTCAGGCGTGTTTTGACGAGCGGAATGCCGCACTTCTTCGTGACATGGATCTGGAACAATCTACTGCGAGATTGCATTGCTGACTGATATTGTAAAGTAATAATGAAAAGACAACCATGGCTGTGTTTCTAGAAGGTGTGGTGTTCCTGCAGCCAGAGCTCCGGCAGCCAATGACGTGATGGTGGGCGAAAGGGTATAGCGCCCCCACCCACGCCGCGGCCTTTTAAGCCACCTTGCGAATTCGCCTGCTCCTCTTTCTCCAGGCAGCACCAGCTGGTCCTCGTTCACGACTCCTCACGACTTCACGACTTCACGTATACAACGGCTATAGCTCCGCGTAACGATGGATGTCTTTTGGACGCTCCCGCCTGTCTCTAGGTAAGCTTCTCTCTTCCAAGGAGCTCGACAGCTGTAGCTCGCAGCTCTCACCTCACTCCCAGCTACGCGCAAACAACACGTCGCACAATCGCTAACAATCCCTCACAGGAGCATCACAGCTGCAGCAGTCGTTGTATCGGCTGCAGGCTACAGCGGACTTCTCAGCCTGTACCACTACATCTTCGTCAGCCAATATGTCTTCACGGTGTCGATGCTCCCGCAGCTCTGGCGACTCTTCACAGCGTTTCTGATTACGAAACCGAAGTTCGGCATCCTGCTAGACCCATACTTTCTATACCAGTACGGCAGCTCCATCGAGCGGGAGTCGCCTCGCTTCAAGGATCCAGGCGACTTCTTCGTGTACACTTTGTTCCTCGGTAGCGTCATTGTCGTAAGTACCCACTGCACACACGCGTACATAGCTTCCGTCGCATCGACACAACTGTCTGCGACGTCTCGACTTCGGTCAACATCACCTCCGCATATCTGCCCGCCCAGCCTGTTATTCCTAGCTGAAGCGGTTCCTGGAACGGAGGAAGAATACCCTTGCACATCATGCGGTTCCGTCATTCGCAATCATATAAAGGGACTTGTGTGGTGTGTAGGCATGGTGGGATTGTCACTTGAGAAAGCTTTGCGAATGCTCTCCATTTCGCAAGGCGGTGTTGGCTCCCTACATACTTTCGCAATTCGTTTCGCTTTGTTCACCTGCGTCTTCTCGTCTTGATATCGGTGTGCTGTGGATGGACTTGTGCTAACAGTCCGCGCAAAGGCAACAGCAGGTGGCATCCTAAACCAATACACCTTCCTCCCGTCGCTGTCCCTCGCCTACGCATACACGTTCGCCCAAGATAATCCTACCCGCTCCGTATCCTTCTTCGTCATTACCTTCGAAAGCAAATACCTGCCCTTCGCTATGCTCTTCATGGCCTTTGTCATGGACGGCCCCGATGCCGCTCTCGGACAGCTTATGGGTCTCCTCGCCGCACACTTGTACGACTTCCTGACAAGGATCTGGCCTACGTTTGGCGGTGGCAAGAACTACATTCGCACACCTGAGATGGTGAAGCGCTGGTTCGGTGCTGCGCCGGGCAGCGTGCAGAACAGAGGATATGGGCATGTTGTGCAGGGACGGGGAGGTGCTGCGCAGCCTAGTGCGGCGAGGGCGACAGGCAATGCTTGGGGTGGAATGGGTCCCGGGAGGAGACTGGGGGAATAGACGTATGCGGCTGAAAATGTCGCGTGCGTTTACACATTGAGGCTGGGTATTGTGGGTCTTGGAGCTTTGGCACTTCATTGCACTGTCTTGATAGAGGAGGTCTACATACCTTCATAATTTCTCCCCGCCGATCCAGCTATTTCTTCATTCGCTGACTTGGTTTGGAAATCTGCAACGATGCCGCAAACTAACTCAGCGAATTCAGAAATAGCTGGATCGGCGGGAAAGAAGCTTTGGCATTTGACTGTATCGTCTTGATGGACTAGGTTTATACACCTGTACTACTACTACGCCTGCATACTACTACTGCGTCTCTTCCAGCCCGTTCTGACCTCAATATTTGAGTATGCAGGCTATCCTTTTTCCACGAAGTGGAATTGTGGTTTTATACACCTGTACAAGTTGTCTCCTGCCACGCCAGGTAATTCCGGACGATCAGGTTTCATCTACAACGATTCGCTCAAATAGTCTGGAATCACCTGGACTGTGAAGGAAACAATTTATAACATGACCATCACGGCAGCATTCATTTAATCCATTTTATCCAATGCCATCTTGGCTATAATACAATTCCTCCTCCTCTACATGTCATGAGTTCATTCTACTTCGAGCTCCCAGCAGGATTGCTAGGCCCATCAACAGCCCTCTCGACATGTCCTGCGATTCCATTCTTGCTCGCGTCGAACTGGCTTCCAATCACGCCGTCCTTGCTGAATGGGCCACCGACTTTCTCGCCGATTTGGCCGATTGCGCCGTCGGGGTTGACTATTGTCCAAGATATTAGTATCGCGTTCAAAGGTGGTTGGAATGCTAACTAGAAGGATTACGAACAGTTCTTTCCAATAGCACCCGCACTGCTAATCACACTGGGGTTTGACTGCGGAATCGCATTTGTATCCTTGTTGGCGCCGAGCTTGTCAGCCGCGGCTGTGGTGTTGTCGGTCATGTTTCCGGACATGTTGGGTGTGGATTGGTTTGCTGTGCCGAGGCCGAGTTGTTCTTGGAGGGGACCGGTGGATTTGGGCATTTAGTTGATATGGAGGGTTAAGTTGATGAGAAATCACTAATGGCAAAGGGTAGGGTTTCTTATATGAATGGCGATGGTGGTTATGCATGGAGAGTACGTCACGAAGGGTAAGTGAGGACAAGTGATGATGGTGACGATGGTGATGTCATGATGATATGGAAGTGGTGGGAGCGCAATTGCAGAAATACGGATTTGGACAAAGTCGATGATGTATCTAGTGAGTAGCTTCCGGCGTATCTCGATTAAGTCCTTTTCGCATTGCTAAGAAGTGGGGTTGCGCATCTGGTGTGTCGTGGTTGTGATTTGCTACTTGTGGCTACTATGGCGTTATGCAGCTGTCATGTACCTCCACGCGTGATCTACATTGTAAAGGTACCCGCACGGTTGAACATGGACGTAATGGGTTTGGACAGGTGGAATGTGATTTCATATGGCTTGCTGGTCTGGTATCATTGCTGGTTGGTGCCGAGGACTACGGTATGGATCTAGGCGGTAATTACATGCGCGTCATGGCTAGGTGCGTCTCTTTGCTCGTGCGCCGCCTACTTTGGGGAATGACAGTGGGAGCTTTAGCTTCGCGATGAAGTGGTTGGCGGTTTCGGCTTTGGTGAGCTTCATGCGTGTGAGGTCGGTCTGGGTTGGGGCGTTGAGCTTGCATCCGAGTTCGGCGAAGTATTGCTTGATCCTGTGTGGCGTTAGCATGGGTCAGGTCAAGTGTTTTTTCTTGTGGAACGTACTCCTTGTTCTCGAGCTTTAGATCTTCTCGCAGGTCGTTCACGTCGACTTCGTAGTCGTCGACTGTGAGTGCTGCCGCTGCAATATGGGTCATGAGGTTATCGACGTGCCAGCGAGACATCTCAAAGGAACTGCACAGGTTAGCGAGCCTTCATGGAATAATCATTGATAGACTTACCCCTCGGGAGCAAACTTCCTCCTGATGGCCATGAGTTGACCCGCAGGCGTGTCCTCACCCATCGCTTCCTCCAACTTCCCTTTCATGGGAATCTTCTTCGGCCGAGGTCCACCTCCTCCAATCAACGCCGAGTTGAAGTTGATGCAAAGCAGTATGAATCGCAGGGCCTTCAGCTTCTGTATCTGTTTGTTCTTGGCGAGCTTTACGATGCGCTTAGCAACGTATTTGCTGGCCACGCTGACTCCTTCGCCGACTGATGATTTTTGAACCCAGTCCTGGACATCCAGCATGGTCATGAGATCGCTTCCAATCACAACATCCGTAGGGTAAACATCGGCTGGGTATTCGGCTGCAAGGTTGGGTGTCGGGCGAGGCTTGGAACTGTCCACGGCTGCTGCGAGATCGTCCTTGTTTGGCATGACCGCTGTCGCAGAAGCCATTTGCTGCAGCACGTTCTCGGCAACTGCGTCGGTCCTGGCCGCGTCCTCGACACCAGTTCCACTCTTGATCGCGTTGAGCGTCCGGTCTTCAAGCGCCTTCCTTGACTTCTTGGATCCGAACTCTGCCGCGAGAGCAGCTCTCTTTGCCATGACAGTGTTTTGTGCTGCATCCAACGCCTCCTGCTCTTCGCGCATTTCCTGTGCTTCGCTTCGCAGTGTGCTTCGTACGACAACTCTCTTGACTGGGACGATTTGTAGCTTGCTTGTCGCAGGGTCGAATACGCCAATGTAGTCTTGTAGCTGGCTCTCGGCGCTTCCATCATGCTCTTCCTGTGCGATGTAGTCTAAACGAGGGTGGCCGGATGATTGGAACAGCATTTCGGTTTCCTCGCCTTGTGGTCGGATCTTGGTGCGCTTGTACGGGTTGAAGGATATCTTCGATGGGATGGTGAGACCGGGTGTGACAGCTTGAGCGCGTTAGAACACACATTGGTAGGATATGCCAAGGTCTTCTGTCGTTTGCGATGGGTTTTGACGCCATGCGACAGCCTTGAGAACTGCTATCATACCTAGAAGCGGACCCAGAGTCTCTTTATTCTCTACCATCTTGACGCGGACATTTCCGGTCGGCGCAACGGCCGTCTTCTTCTTTGGCCGTTCGCCATTCTGCTCCTGTCTCTTTCTCTTCTTTTCACTCATGTCGGCGTTGCGGTTCCGATATGGCAGCATGGGTCGCGTTGTGTCAAAAAGTTCGATCGCGAATTGGCAGAACTTTGGGCGGTCAGCTAGCAGGCATAGCCGAGCGACCGGGGTGGCAGCTGCGCCAACCCCGAACCGCTCTAGCGCATCCGCGATGACGTCCACGCGACGGACGCGTTCCAGACTTGCGCATCCGCATCGCAAGTGCGGCCACGGCACACACGGAGCTTCCCTCTATTGAGTCCCTTGTATCTAGTCAATGCAGTCGCCCTGAGACCGTAAACAACCAAACTTCATCTCTATCATTCGTCTTCCATCACCCATCATCAACATCCATTGATTCATTAACCACTGTACTGCTACCAAGCGCACCTATTTCACCAGCTTCACCATGCCAACCGTCCTCCAGACAGCTGGCGACATGGTCGACAACCTCGGAAACAAGATCCATTACACCACGCGAAGAGTCGGTGACCAGATCGAGACCACCACCAACCAGGTCCTGCCACCCAAGCAGCGCGAGCACATGCTTGAGAGAGCCCGGGACTATGCCCATCAGAACCCCAAAGTAGCCGTAAGTTGTTCAATGGCATCTGGCAACTCTCATTAATGACACCCTCCAGGCCTTCCTGACGACCCAAACCGCATTGACCGGTCTCCCACTGGCCCTCTTCCTCGCCTTCGCAACAACCACCCTCCTCGTCTCCCTATCAACCTGCCTCTTCCTCGGCCTCCTCATCTCAATCGCCATCACCTTCTTCCTCGTCGGCTTCGCGCTCCTCTTCGTCGTCCCCACCGTCATCATCGCCAGCTGCTCAGCGACCTTCATCTTCATCTGGGGCTTCGTGGGCTACATCATCCTACGCAGGTTCAATGAGGGTGAGGAGCTTCAGCGTGGCACTCCCGTTGGCGATAAGTTGTACAAGTTAACAGGCGGTAGATCGGGATATCTACAAAGCGATCAGACATCTTCGGAGAGCAGCAGTGACCGAAGGAGGTTGGGTGGTGGAAATGCTGCGAACGGCTCTAATGGCGGTGTTGGGCACGCACATGGTGGTGTATCGTCGCACGCGCGCGATGGCGGGCCTGTGAATGGCGTGAATGGTACTCAAGGTGCTGTTGAGTGGGAGAGGAAGTGGGCGGATGGCGTGCAGCCGAAGCCTGTGGTTCTGGAGACCGACAATGTCTTTGAGGTGTTGAAAGCGGTAAGTAAACTCCCAGTTCTGCGTTAATGCCCAGCTAATTGTCGAAAACAGGAGGCTCCAGTTTCCTAGAAGCGTGCCTGGGACTCGAGCTCGGATTGCAGGTCTTGACTTATCAATATTCCTATAGCACCTTCCTGCGCAAACGCGCTGCCCTGAAACTATCAAACCAGTATTCCTAAGATCTTCAAATTCTCATGTTTTATGGTATATGCTACCTTTGCTCGATACGTCCTCCTCATTCTCTCAAAACCTCCGACATCACGTGCAGTTGCTGACTATATAAATATGCCTTTCTTTCCGCGTCATCACTGCTTCATCAACTTCACCAGTTTTCTGTTTTCTAAAATCTTCAGATCCAGCTGCCATGTCCTGTCCCTGGTCTTTCCAAAATAAGCTCGACTTCTACTGATGACTGTTTGTCCAGAAGACCCAATATACGACGATGACATGTCTTTCATCATTGCGCTTCGTGTCACCTCGACAGAAATGCTAATCTCTTCCAAAACCTACTGAGCCCGTTCGCATGTGCTGAGTGCACGCCCGACTCGAGAATTTCTACCAAAATTCATGAACAGAAATCATATGTTCCGTGATGTCCAGTCCAAAAACAACGATGGCTGAGCAAATGTGTGTCGCCTCGCTGTGAGAAAAAGAAAGCGCAAGAATATACATGTCTTTGAGCTACCAAAACGAAGTAGGACAAGAGGAGAAGAATGGCGTTGCTGGCCTACATTGGCGTCCTTGTCGTATTCTACCTCCTTTGCGAACAAAAGAACTACATATATGCACATGTCCTGCACAGTCCTGGGTACATGTTTGATCCACCAAAACTGATTATGTCGGTTTTTGGAACACCTCGCGACGCGTCATAGGGCTAAAACACGTCTTTTTGGATCTAGGATTTGGTAGCCAGTAGTAGCTATATAAACACCTTCTCCCCCGACCAGAGTCTTCTTTCACAATTGTCTCTTCCTCGTACAGGAACTCCAAAATGCTAAGAGCCATCAACCATGTTTTGTGGGACTTCCGTTTCTCAAAAAAGATACCAAACCATCTATGTTTCGAGCAGCACTTCCGAAAATCATGTTCAACTTCAATCATGGCCTGGTCCGACCTCTCGAAGCTTCAACTTACTATGAAATGTTCTCGTCTTTCCGAGCTCGCAAAATCAAGGTAGCCTCCGAGTATGAGAGGCTGCAGGTATGAGACTCTATCAGTTGTCTGTTTGTGCGAAAGCGGTATAATTCCAATACATGAAACAGCAGCGAGTTGACTGTGTTTATGTCGCCGCCGTCGCGACTCCTCCACCCTCCAAATGAATAGACTTCACCAATGCATGACTGGATTTGGGATTCTCCCCACTTGCACACTGATTTTGCGAGGAGCGTGTTCAAAATCGAGCAGATCATTGCATGTGGGAAAACGAGAAAGATCAAGTAGATAAAAACATGTTCTCCAAAGTGCAGGAAGGTGCAGCTGATCGCTACATGTCTGCTGCAACGGTCGTTTTGTTGGTTCAAAAGATGACTGTACAATTTTTCGAATAGCTACTACGCCGTCTCTACCGCTAGAGTGCATATATAAACCCTTCTTCTCAGACCTGAGATTCTCCCACCTTCTCCCATTATGAAGGACTGGGAATTCAAAAAAGGGCCCAACCCTACTATGTTTCTTCCAAAAGTACAACCTGTATTGGGTATGTTTCCTCGGAAGTGCGGCACGGCTGTGGAAACAAAAGCGGTCGATAACAAATTCATGAAGTCTTTGCTCTCTCCGGTCCGATTCTCAAAAAAGAAACGCATTTGGTTAGCATGGCGTCGCTCTCCTGCACTGAGCTGTAGGTATAAAAAGTCTTTCTCTGCCTTCTTGTTGTATATTTAAACCTTGTAAAGTAGTATTTTATGGGATGAAAAGATAACTTCAATGTATTCGTAGTTTTATGAGAAGCACTTAAAGAAAATAAAATTTCATCTTTCTGGCCAGAGTTTGGCGACGTTCAGAATCTGCGCGTTTGCTCTCATGTCCTTCGCCGGTTTGGTGAAAGCGAATGCCAGTCGGATGTAACTCTTGAGGAGTAATCTCCAGAACGCAAAAGCCTAACCTTGCCGATTTCATGTTGACGAAGCAGTGTAGTGACGATAACGATGTTTGTTGATAGCTAGGTCGACAAGGTAGTTTCAAAAACATCAGCCGAGGAATCGACAGAATTGATTGGTGTAGCACTTGGCTGCTGCCTAAAACAGCCACACCATCCCTCGCCACCCGCTACACTTCATCGTCAACGATCCTCCAACAACGCACAAGGTTTGCCCCAACTTTACGCAAACCAGTCTTGTAGGATCGCATTTCAACATGCCCGCACATCCACACACAACCAGACGCATCCAGAAAGAATACCAATCCCTGCGCTCCGACCCAATAGAAGGCTGCACAGCCCATCCAATCGACCCATCAAACCTCTTCTCATGGCGCGCCACAATCCGCGGCCCCCCACAGACACCCTACGAGTCCGGCACCTTCCACCTCACCGTGGAGTTTCCGGAGGATTACCCGATCCACCCACCCACTATAACTTTCACCACGCATGTCTATCACCCAAACATCGATAGCGACAATGGGTATATATGTATCAACATCTTACGGCAAGACTGGTGTCCCGTGTTGACGATTTCGAAAATACTGTTGAGTCTGCGATCTTTTCTGGATAGTCCGGATGCGGAGGATGCGTATTATCCGAGTATGGGGAGGGAGTATGTGGAGAGGAGGGATGTTTTTGATGAGCGGGCTAGGAGGTTTACGGAGGAGTTTGCGGGGAGTGGGCAGTAGTTTTCAGTGTTTACTGGGTGAGATGAGATGTTCGCGGCACGGAGATCGAAACCCAACCATTTTATATATTTAGTCGGAGTTTAGATCGCATTCGAGAGATCACAACACAGAAAGATACAACTCGTTCAACTCTTAACAAGGCAGTCTTGAAAAGAGCTCCCATGGGTCTGATAGCCCAGACAACCCATCCCGCCATGTACAGAACATTGTGGTCTAGCCTCTTTCTCATCCCTTCCCTTATTCAATGGGCGGATTCCGTTTTGACCGTTCCCTCTATCAGCCGCGAATACCGTTTACTGGAACGGATACATAGCACGTATCATCTGGGCGTCCCCGTCAGATATCTCGAACTCTGGGTACTTGAGGCCACCGGCGAGACGCAGGAAGGCGGCCTGATTCGTCTGTGGATCCACTTTGAACATCGGGTACAACGTGGGGTTTGTACGATCCCCCGACACGATGGCTTCATTTGAACCTCTACGACTATCGTAATGCATGATTGACTGATAATCGTATGGCGAGGCTATGTCTGGAGCGATATTATACGTGATGAATTCGGAGCCGATGAAACCGTGTCGAATTGCGAGAGCACGATCGTTGCAGAGCATGTCTTCTGTGCAAGTGGGATCCTCGGCTAGACATCTTCCCCATGCTTCGGCGAATCCTTCGACGTTTCTGCAATTGTAGATGATGTACTGATCTCGGTCGGAGCGCTCATGCTCGTGGTTTAGGCCAAAAATGTGACCAAGTTCGTGTGCTACAGTGAAGTCCCTGTTGTCGTCTGTCGTGTGTCCCGAGATCATCAGATGATGTCGGCCGGGAACGTTACTAACTGTATGGCCGACCGAAGCGAACCCCTCGCGATTCATGGGATCAGTCGCGACCCAATACACAACCACAGTTTCGGGAGGTATCTGTGGGTCCCATACGCCCGGAGAGGTGTAGCAGTACGGGTAGTTAGGCCCTCCGACTGGTTTGAAGCGTTCGAAATGCAAGTTATGGCCATTCGATGCTTGCGCCGCACCGAGCTTGCGTGTCCAAGTCCCCCAACCGTTGTCGACTGCTCTGAAAATGTTGTTCTCGGCGAGCGCGTCTCTGAAGCACCAGTTAATCAAGAACCTTCGATCTGGTTGCCGAGGCCAACGCTGATTGTTAGCGTTGTAGACGGGGAACCTGGAGGAGTCAATAACTGATGGACCCTGAGCATTCGCACTACATACCCAGCATGGCCGCCGGTATCAAGTGGCGGAGCAATATCGATGGGCCCAGGAGAAGGAAGAGTGGTGTTGAGGAAATCTGCCGAGATCGCACATACGAGTCCAAGGAAGGCAAGGAGAAGGGAAAGAGAATGCATGTTTCGATGTAGAGTCGACCTTGGAAGTGGTTGCGCGTGGCTTCGAGGTAACTGCTGGAGAGTGTCGAGTACAGCAGTGATAGTCGTAGTTAATGCTGTGGCAAGCGAAAGTGGGGCAACATATGGTGAAAGACACGCTCTAATGTAAACTTCACCTTCACTGAGTAGCGAGTGCAGGTATCATAGGTAAATATTGTTGACACTGATTCATCTCTGCAAGATCTCGTTCAGCAACGTGACGACCAGGGTTGCAGTGAAACTACTTCTAAGCCTCTGAATTCTAACGTCCGCTAACCCGACACGATTAATAGTGAGGATACATAAACCGGATTGCCGCAGCGTCGCCTTGGGAAATATGGTAAGCTAGCCCAGGTACATGACCCTTTAAGGGCAAAAGGAAGAGCGGTGCTACGCCTTGAGCATTTGCCATGCCTATTTGAGCCATTGGGTACGAGTTAGGATCTGTTGCTGAATATGGAGCCTGATGATTGGTTCCCGCTATCGAATCGTAGTGCATGATGGAAGCGTAGTCGTAGGTTGAATGGTAATCTGGAGCGGCTGCAGTCCTTGTAAATGAGCGGATTAAGTCCCATCCGAATTGTTCACCGACACCATCCACTTCCGTAAGTTGCTGAAAGGTGACGTGGTTGGCTTGAGCAGCCTGCCAAGCTCGTGCGAATCCGTTGAGGTGCTGAGGCCTGAACTGAATGTAAATATCTCGATCCGGTCGTTGGTGCTCGTGAAGAAGGCCAAACACATGACCCAGCTCGTGTGCTATCTGCCAGACCGGGTTCGGAATCTCTCGCCCCGGTGTATCCACGGGCCCCTGGGTTAGATAATGTGCGCCCTTTTCTCTGCCTTGGTAACCAGCCGGAGCAAATGCCCCAACCACTTGAGGATCATATTTTATACGCACTGCCGCGCGAGGCATACCCTTAGTCCATTCGTTGTTGGCATCGTAACAATGGGGATAGTTGCCTGTGACTGGATGTTTCCAACGTTTGAATTCTAAGGCGTGGTTGTTTTCAGAAGCCGTTCCCATGACTGAGGTCCAAACAAGCCATGCCTGTTCCATGCGCTGCACCGGGATCTGTGTCTCTGCGAGCTGATTCTCGAAGCACCAATAGATTGTGAACATTGCCGTATATTCATCACGAGGCCACCTCCTTGCCGCTATTACAGGGTGCCTGCAAGAGTTAGCAAGTGTCGAGGTTGTTCACAAGATCGAATAATGGATGACGAACCCAGCAAAGACGACCCCAAAGAAGGCGAAGAGAAGAAGTAGGGGCAGCATGGCTGGGCGCTGAGTTAAGTTCTTGAGGGTAGATTCTGGGATTGGTCGGTGGTAGAGCTTCTGGTGGGTTGAGGCTAGTGGTATGTATAGTCGATGCAGGTCCCTGGGTAGGCAGCGAAGGTGGAGTGGGCCAATTCACCGAGTGCGGTTCTATCGCGGCGGAAACAACGCTGATGTAAGGGAAAGAGACCAAGAAAAGTGTGAGCCTTTGCAGTAGTTCTGCTAGCCCCGCGATGAACGACTAGGGACACCACTTCTTGGTCTGTGCGCTTTAGACTTGTCGAGCAAACGCTTTTTGAACCCTAGGTGGAGGCTCTTTCACTACCTAGGTAGAGTCAAGTGTAAGGTTGTCTACGAACTGCAATTTCTGCGTTCAATACGCCAGATTATGACTAAAATATGGTTTGCCTACGACGCATGATATAGGTATTGCTGGTTGAACGCGTCACTGGCGAAGAATGAGACTGGAGCGCATCGTGAGACACGAAATTTGGGCTCAAAGTTGAGCGACTATTAGAGCTTCAACAAGTGCAGCTTTCCAAGTGTACTTAGTGGCTTTCTTGGATACTTCCCGTCTAAGTCTTTATCTAGCTATTCGCGGTCATGGGCGAGGAATAGAACGATCGAGCGATCCAAAAGCGATGATGGTCGTCCGTGCGTCGGTATCATAAAGATCACTGGTCCAGCGCGGGAAGGCCGATTACTCCCACGGATACAACAGCTTGATAGCCTCTTTATCCAGCCTAGAAATCCCCCACTCCCCACTCGGACGTGGCAGCGGAAGGAGCGTCTTCTGACCATGCTTTCCACCGGTGAGTCGAACCAAAGGGTAATTGTCAGGGTTGTTCTGATCCTGATTGACAAGAGCAGGGTTGTGGCTCTGCCATGAGCTGTAGTGCATGATGGAATCGTAATCATACTCCGCGCTGTATGCCAAGCCGTCGTTCGTCCACTTGTAGTACTCTGAAGCGTCGAATTGGTAGTGCTTCGCAACATTAAAGATGTTACAGAGTTCGTTTATGGTAAAGCCGTCGGCAGTGGCCTTTTGGAGAGCTTCGTGGTAGCCTGTGAGACTGGCGCAGTTGAACTGGACGTGGTCGTCGCGGTCTCCGCGTGAGTGCTCGTGCATCAAGCCGAAGATGTGACCTGGACGGATGGGATTAGTTACCGGTTGTATACTGATGGCGGGGAAACAATTTTACCTAGCTCGTGAGCCACGACTGTCTACCTGTTAGCGGGTCCGGACAATCGAAAATTGCTTCTCAACCTACCCCAGGCCAGATCTCTGTTCGGTGCTTGTTCCGCGTTACCGATACTCAATTGATGACGACCAGGTGAACCTCCAGCCCTATATCCCAAAGAAGACGCTGCTGCCCAACCCCCTGGAGCACCACGCTTGATAACGACGGTGTCTGCCGGAAACAACTGGTTCCAATCGCCATTCGCCAGGTAGCAGTAGATGTCCTGGCCAGGAACAAGGCGCCGTGTAAAGAGCAGTGAATGGCCGCTCTCTTTACCCCAGCGACCGAGAGAACGCTGCCATGCTCCCCAGCCCTCTGCTATGACTCCTTCAAGCTCATCTTTGGCAGCCTTGTTTTCGTAGCAGTAGGCGATTTCGGTCTTGCCGCTGTTATCGGGGTGCTTCGGCCAGCGACCGCTCTTGTCGGCGCCAAACCTAGGGGTGTTATTATCGTGACGATTGAAAGGTTGTGGGATTACCAACGAATCGCCGAACCAACCCATACCTCCGTCGGGAGCGCTAGCTTCGATGTTAGAAAAGGTAAAGAGACAGGAAGTACCGCAAAGGCGCACCAGGCAAAGAGAATCAGGAGTATTATAAGCAACATCGTGGCTCTAGTGTATCGTCCCCCTCTGAGTGCACTTTGTTCCAACAAGGGGAATTTATTTAGTGTAGTGATGTGAAATGCATCGAGGGAATCAAGCGAAGACAGATCCAAAGGCGGTAATGAACCCGGAGTCTACGATTCCGCCCGAGTTGAGTGTAGCGGTGGGAATCCGGTCCAGATCTTGGCAGCTGTAGTAAGTACAGAGTGAAAGGTTCTCGTGTGTATTACACCTCCCATTTCTGCTTTCTCTCGTCCCAGTGTCATCGCTTTGACTTTCCAGAACGGTATGATAAGCTCGGTATTTGCAAATCCACCGACATCATGCCAGAAGCGCATGAAGATATCCAGCAAGATATATAGAATCATTCTTGAAGACGAGAACCGATGAGGTCGATGTGACGCCAAGATGCCTGATAAATAAGAGGGCGCGCTTTTGACTCGGACTGTGGTCTGCTGTTGCTTCCTGATGGTCGCTGGAGGTGTATATTAGGGTGAGAATACATCAGACTGACTTTCAGATGTCTCCTGAAGAGTCGGCGCCACCAGGACAGGATACATCTTCATCCGCACTGGTTATAGGGAACACTCAGGCATGCTGTAGCTGTCCACAGGTCATCATTATGCCAGGAAGTTCGCGGTTCGTGTGAGAGATGTCGTGCAGAAACGGGAGTGCTGTGCCTGGGTGTCGGCCGCCCAAGAACGCGTGTCTGGTGCGTGTCGCGCTAGGCACACTAAAGGAGACTAGCGTTGCGCGTCGCGTGCCCAGGTGCGGACGGCAGCGGCAACTCACCAGCACCGGAGCTTCTGAACCTCCATGGTGCTCTCTTCTTTCTACGCGTCTGATTGCATCTCACCTGTCACGAATCTTGCGTCACTGTTGTCGCATCTTCCAAGGGGCTGCGCTGCATTGGCTTTCTCTGCGCACGCGACCTCGCATTGCACATATGGATTCTATACGACATCCGTTGACGGAGGTCTGTTCTCACCCGCACTTCAACGAAGAAGGCTGAGTACTTGCTTGATGATGCCAGGCATTCAAAATCGCCAAGTGTGCATGGCGCTAACCTCGTAGGTCATCTGCATGCGATCGTTCCAGGATGTGTGTGAGGGGCGCAGCTGAAGCGGCCATGTCTTCACGCCACTTCATGCATCTGGTTCGTTCTTCAGGACTCGCGCTGAGATGATGCATCCAGATGAAACCCACAGCATCATCTCCAGGCTTTCCAAATACCCAAACATTACACTTGCTTTTGCTGGCTTGCTTTGCGACAGCATTCTATCAAAGCTGAAGCCCCACTTTCTTCGCCCCCACGGTAGCGCAAGCGCGGCGCAATCGGATCACGACCTCCATGAGACTTTTGAATGCCAGGACGTACGAATTTCACGATGTATTGGGCGCGATCAAACCGAAATACGCGATCTTATCGCACACATGGGAGGGTGAGGAGGTGGTCTTTGAAGACATGCGTGACACTTCCAGGGCCAAATGGAGTGCTAAGAAAGGCTACTTCAAGATAGGAAAGACATGTGAACAGGCCTTGGAAGATGGATGCGACTTCGTCTGGATCGATACATGCAACATCAACAAGGACAGCAGCACAGAGCTTTCGGAAGCTATCAACTCAATGTTTCGATGGTACCGCGATGCCGTTATCTGCTACGCATATATCTCCGATGTCAAAGCTAGAGATCCCCACTCGCTGTCCGAATGTCGCTGGCTCACTCGAGGGTGGACACTACAGGAGATGATTGCCCCAGATCGCGTGCACTTCTATGATATGAACTGGGATTTCCTTGGGAGTCGTATATCTCTTGCGGCACAACTGTCGGAACATAGTGGCATCCACGCATCGGTATTGTTGCGAAGACATCGTGGTCAGATGGGCTTCCAAATACCGACGGAGAAGGGCCATTTGGCCGTGGACTTCACAAGTGAACTTGACGACACCTCATATTCCCGGAAGACGATTACAGGGAGGGAATGTCAATGCTGCACAAGTACCGAAGAAGATGACGTGCAATCAATGCTGGACGGATTTAGCGTGGCGCAAAAGATGAAGTGGGCTTCCAAACGTACGACATCGCGAGAGGAAGATATTGCCTATTGTCTGATGGGGCTATTTGACGTAAACATGCCCCTCTTGTACGGTGAAGGGAAGAAGGCTTTCTATCGCCTGCAAAAAGCCATCCTTGGAATATCATCAGACCATTCCATTCTGGCCTTCCGATCTGATTTGTCAGAGAATGTTTTTACAGGAGAGTCTCCGTTGCTAGCACCACATCCTGCTTTCTTCCGCGACGAAATACAAAACATGCACATGCCAGCTCGTGGTACGCATACCAGTCTTTCGGGTACTACACTATCTGTCGAGATGCTCCTATGTCCACTGGAAGGGAATGGAAAGTTTCGGGACGAGTACCTTGGCATTTTGGACTGCTCAATAGACGGAGACCCCTATATGAGACCGGCTATCTTGCTGTCACCCGTGCATAGAGATAAGTTAATCTTCCGAAGGTGCTCCGGTGAGGTCAGTCTTTTCCGGCTGGAATCCAAACATCCTATGGAGGCTGCTCTGATAGTTGATCATCAACTGAAACCCGAAGAGCGTACGTTCATTAGGAAGCAACAGGCTTGAAAGAAAGCCGCTAATCATTGCAGTAATGTGGTTACCGCAGAGAATACCATACGATCCGAGCGAAATAAAACGAGCTCGAATCACGCTCATTGGCGAGAAGGCCACTAACCAGAGCCAGCGACATGCGAACGCACCCATACGCGTTCACGTGTCTCGCGTATTACACGAATTGGATTACAGAATCAAGGCGTCACCACCTTTAGACCCAGGGCACCTGCTAGACACTTCATCCCGTACCGGCAGTTTAGAGTTTTCCGGGACACTAGCTGGAAGGTTTTGCGTTGATTGGAGCCAGACCCCTGCGGAACAGCTACGATGCAGCATCTCAACCGACTTACAGCCAGGAGACCAAGGCGTGATACAAGCACAGACGGCCCCTACGGTCAACCTAGAGTTCGAGTCTAGAGACACTTGTGCGACCACGCCACTCACAACGCTATGTGAGTCAAGAAGCGTCTCCCTCCGTGGCGTTGAATTCGCTCATATCAAGGCCTGGATTTCGATCTCCAGAGAGACTTTCATTGGAAGAAGTCGCTTTGTATTGAACATTCATGCAAGGCTAGTCGAAGAGGAGGTGACGCATATCAGGAAGCCGAGGACTCGTCACAGGCGGATGCAAAACTTGTTACCGGACCGAATACCATTACCCATAGGCTTGGATGACAAATTGCAACAATTACCGTATCGTCAACAATTTCAAAACTCAACTGGGAATGACGAACAGCAATAGATGAGGAGAGGTCGCTGAAAGAACATCGCGGACGCCCTCGCGATTACCGCCGCGGCACTAACCGAGTGTCCCGAAGTGACACGTCGCTGTATCATTCGTACAAAGTTATATTCGAACAATGAAGCCCTTCTTACATTCATGCTCGTACGCTATGCACTGCTGCGACACAAACTCATGCTCTTTACCACCGACAATAGACCTTAATAAAGCTCGATCCCAACACGATGCGAGGACGGTAGTATCACACCATAGACGTACAGGTATCGTTACGGGAAGTCGAAGTTGAATCCTTGAAGCGCCCTGAACAGCGAAACACGAAAGTCAAAGCTCCACCTGAACATGCAGATTATCAACAGCCCGCTCAATCGCCATTAATCTCACGCGCCAGGCTCTTCCTTCATCGCAACATCTTCCTTCAGATCCTCCACTTCCCTAACCTCCACAACCCCCTTAAGCACCTTCTCCCAAACCCTCCTCGCAACCCTAAAACTCCTACACCACTCCTCCCAATCCCCCACTACATCCCTCTCCAACCACTCGCCTCCCCTCGCAGCCACATGTTCTATGTATTCAACAGTCAACTCTTCTTCTTCGTCTCCATCTCCAGCATCTCCAGCATCCCCTTCCAACCCATCTCTCTCCTTACCGCTCTTACCCTTCTTCTCATCAGCCCGCGCTTTAAGATCAGGATCAATAGCCGTCCACTCCAACAATCTCGCCTCCACTAAATCAGATATACCGCACGGCGTGAAAAGAATTTGCACAACGTCTTCCGGGTTGAGTTGTTTCGTGTCTGGATCTGCTTCCGGGGCGAGCGCGTAGTACCCGAGTGCGTGGCGCCCGTCTTCGTATAGGTTCGGTAGGAAGAGGATTGTCATCGGTATATCTGTCTCTTTCTTCTCGTGGGGTGTGTCTTCTGTGAAAGCGGGCTGGTTGGCTTTCTTTTCCCCCGGCTGGTTTTGGGATGCGGAAGGGTTGGTTGTATCGGGCGACAAGGCTGAGAGGGCCGGTATACCAGGAAGTCTCGCATTCGCCAATAAATTAGGTAAATGCGTAATCGCCGAGTCGAAATTTATAAACGGCAGATTCCTCTCTGCGACACGTAGGATAGCGAGGAAGACAGCGGGGTTGGTGGTTGCAGCGCGGTAGATGTATTCTACGTAGTTAGGGCGGTTGCATCGCGGTTTGGGCAGCTTGGTGTAGTCGATGATTGTGTCGCTGACTTCGGGCACGTAGGTACGCTCGTCGCGCTTGGATTTGGGGTTGTCGGCGTTGGCGCTGGAATTCTCATCCTCATCGTCGTCTCCATCCTCGTCGTCATCGTTGTCGCTATCCCCATCCCCATCAACAAACATCTCAGACCCTAAGGGTGTAACCGCATCCTTCGGAATAGTCATCTTCATATCCTCCGCATAGTCCGTCGTGATATGGTTATACGTCTTCTTCAGCGTGAGTTTATGCCGATAGTCCACTATACCTCTTCTAAAGCCCGGAGCGGTGTCGAGTTCAGTAGTGTTGACTACGATGTCGTCTTGATGGGAGTCGAAGGGGTATCGCTTTTCTTTCTTCGGCTTTGCGGGTTGCTTGGCTGATGGGGCCGCGGGTGGTTTGGGGGCTACGATCTTGGGGACGGTGCGTTTGGCGGGTGCGCGGTGGGGAGGTTGTGTCATTGTTGCGGGTGGGTTGGCGGGCGGGCGGTTGGCGGTGGGCGGTGGTAGGTGTTGTGGCTACGGAGACGAGGGCGTCGCGGCGGAGGGTATTGGGAAAGGCGCGGGCTGTAGGGATTAGTTTGAAGAAATCATCGGTCACTGCGAGGTCGAGATAAAAGTCCGTGCAGGGACTGCGCTTGTTGTTACTGCTTCACTGCGATTTACTAGGGCGACTATACAACTACTGTTTCCACACAAGCGCTAATCAGACTCATCGTCCGTGTCTACTCCAAGTACAAGCGATATCTTGTCATCGTCACTGTCCTCGTCGTCGAGGTCTCCTTCACCTGGCTCGGGAAGTTCAGGGACAGCCGAGGCGGTGCTGGTAGCGGCGAAATCTGACGTAGCGGCTACTTCTGTAGTGGGAGTAGATTTGCTGAAAGATACAGACGCTGTTGGCGCAGGAGGTTTTGGGTGTGTTGTGCGCTGCTCGTCTTCGCCAGTCTTTGCTCGTTTGGAAGGCGAAAGAGGACCATCTTCGCCTATCGGCCGCTTGGTTTCGCTGAATGCGGTGGGTTCGGGGATCGTAGGGCGTTGCGCAAGCGTGCCTTTGCGAACTGATCGTGGAGTGGAAAGGTCAGGTTTGCTGGGTGTTGGCGCGTCTTCCATAGCAAAGTCCTTCGCTGCCGTATCCGATTGCCCAGCGGTTTCCAGCAGATTGTCCAACTCTTGTCCAGCAAAGTGGTCGTCCGCCTGCTCCAGAGCTTGCTGCTCTTCTTCTTCAACTTCTTCATCCTCAACCTCCATCTCTTCGTCTTCATCGTTGCCATCATCCAACTCCAAATCCTTGCCACCCAGGCGAATGACTGGCATCCTTGGTCTGAGCATACCCTCGACATCCAGCTCAGTGGAGAAGGACCGAGCCATGAGTGGAAGTATGCTTGCTGCGGGCTTTCCAAACTTCTTGCTCGGTGGCGGGTTCAGCACGCTGGCTACCATGGCGTCCTTGCGCTGGGTGAGAATAGCGGTACGGTCCAGACGAGCGCGCATTGAGTCAGATAGGTATTGAGCTGGTATGCTTGAAAGTAGGACCGGGAGCAGATTGTGGGCGGCTTGTTGGAGTCCAGGGAATCCAGCGTTGGGGCCGCCGGCGTTCTTCGCAGCGCCAAGGAAGCTATCGGCGTTGGCAGTGGTCTGGGGCTGACTGTTGCCATTGGCCTTGGCCTGGCCGGGAGTCTGTTGGTTTGTAGGCGCCGCGGTCTCGGGCGGTAGTAGATCGTCGCAGCAAGCGCGAATAAGAGGTACGAGGGAGTCGATGGTAGTCTTATGGAGAGCGACTCCAGATCTCCTCAACAAAGCTGCAACCGCCGTGTAGCAGGCTGTTCTAACCTGAGCTGTCTCTTTTTCCGCACTGAATACCCACACAAGTTGGTCAATGATGGCAGGGTCCAGTGCCAACGTGCTGCTCTGGGATCTGTGTGCTAGAGCAAGAAGCACTTCAATTGCGGCAACATGTACGTCTGGCAACAATAACCAAAGGCTTTCACGCTCGTCCTTGCTGACTTGGGCATTCAGACGTACGGTGTTCTGGAAGTTCTTGCTCGCCGCCACGGGAATGGTAAGGGAAAGCATTCTCGAGAGTAGGTCAACGATCATGCCAACGTTGAGATACACCGTGTTGGCTGTGGGGCTTTCGATGTACTCCTTGATAACGTAGAGAAGGCCTGTCAAGCGTTCGCCACCAGCGAAGATTCCCGACCAGGCGGATAGATCTGAGCCCGGCTCCAGGTCTTGAACTTCGTCATCCAGTGTGTGACCGTTCGAAAGAGGTGCTTCACGTGCCGTCGATTGCCAGTCTTCAATCACGGCGCGGAACACGCGGTCTGTCGTCTGATGAGTGACGTTTGTGATGTTCTTAACAGCCTTTGTCCACTCTTCACTCGAAGCTCCTTTTGGTGCACAGCAAGGTAATTGGACGTAGAGTTGGCGCGCGGCAGCTGCGATCTCCGAGCAAGCCCCATGGTTGGTTCCAGTTCGCTGCTCTTGGCTGAGTTTATCAGATGGCGTGGGTGCAATGAGACGTCCGAGAAGCGGGTAAAGCTGCTTTAGATAAGACCGGAAGATGGTAGGGTGTCGGGGCAGCAGCTCGTTGAAGCTCTCTAGGATAATCTGTAGTACACTGGCGGGGGTAGCTTTGGCATTCGCTATCTGCAAACAGACTTGGACGAAAGGTGATAGCGACGGAGTAGTGATTTCGCGGATCAACGTCGGGTACTCTCTGGTCAGAAGGAAGATGCGCGTCAGGGTAATGATGCACAGCTTCTTTGACGATGGCGAATCCGGCTTGTTCAAGAATCCTAGAAGACCACGCACCCATGGCAAACTCTTCTGCAGAGTCTCCCAACCCCCAACTTCGATCGTGGCCTTGATCAAGACTATGGCACACCATCTTCCTTGGGGAGTCCGGTCTTGGAGCAGAGTGGTGAGTAGAGTCCGGTACTTGTGTATAGCAACGGATGCTTCCGAGGATGTCGCTTTGGTACCTGAGGCCTGGGCCGAGGAGAGGAGGGTCCTGCAATTGGCTAATGACGCAGCTATGGCAGGCACGTGTTGGGGGAGCTGGGATGTTGGTGTGGACGAGATGCGGAAACTGAGCGCTCGCAGCGTCGCCAGTTCGGAAGCAATGGGCGCCATGGTGATGGCGATTCCCCTGGTTATTGATTTGATCAGCCCGTCTCTGATCAGCAGAATGGCTGTTGTCGATGGCTGGTAGAAAAAAGTTGATAGCCCGGAGTTAGCGTCGGACCGCATGCGCTAGAGCTGCAGGGATGTGCGGGCCAACTGCACAGAAGAGTGGGACTTGTGCAGTCGGTCAGTGACATGTGTACAGCCATGGCCGGCGTCGTCGCATTCAGTATTGCTCGTCGAACATGATTCTACAGACATCGCGACCCTGTCCAGAGCCAAAGGCATATTCTTAGCACCATGGTGGTATGTCGAGGGTGCTGTCCTCCCTCTCCCCTGGCGCCGAAGCAACGTCATGTTCAACAACGGTAGCTTACAGGACCTACAGACCCCCCCTGAGAGCGAAAAGGCCAAGCGCTACATACAGCAGCTGGACGAGGCTCGATGCGCCGGACGATGGGCCGACGTGCCTGAGCTGTGTCGCAAGGTCGAGAAGCATGCGCCGCACCGACGATGTCAGCAAACCTCTCTGTTTGGTCTTTCTGAGGGCTAACGGCGACCCAAGGCCTCACCCTCACAGCGCGCTCCGACGCCCAGATAGCCGCACACAGCACCAAGAGGCCCTCGACCGCCTCCTCTGCCGCCTCTACCACCGGCCTGTCACAGATCATACCCTCGCTGCTCGCAACAATCGAAGAAGATGGCACGCAGGGTCAGGACGCCTTCCAGGCCAACGTCTGCCTTGGCTGGGCCCATTACGTGCTGGACGAGCCGGGGCTGGCAGTGGCGCGGCTTCCACAGGACTTTGGGGCAGTCGCGACCCAGCTGTCGGGCGAAGCAGGCACCTTGAGCGGCTGGTCTCGGGTGTGTCTGGTCAAGGGCACATATCTCAAGGGTACAGCTATACTGTGTAACCTCATCTTGGTCCCGGAATTGACGTGATTTAGGCTCCGCGCTCGAAAAGACAGGTGCAATTGGCGAGGCAGCCACCATCTACTCGTCAATAATACCCTGGCTGTCCACGACCACCACCCCGAACACCGAATCGGCCCAGTTCAAGATGTGGGGAGAGCAGTCTCTCGTCCGCCTCTGTCAGCTGTCCGACCAGTCCATGGGCCTCAGCGAGCGAATCAACGCGTCCGAGGCTCTGCGCACCTACCGCTACTGGGCAAAGTTTTGGGATGCAACTTCCAAGAACGCCGCATCAGACGTGGGCAACTCAGCACGGTATCGAAGATTAGCGTGGAAGGCATACTACGACTCGCTATCAACAATCCTCCGCTATGACCTCGCCTACGAACCCGATTCCACGCCCATCATACAAGAGAAGCCAACGCCTACCGCCCAGTCAGACGCTCGATTACGGCAGCGGGCGGAGCTGAAACGCGTCGAGGCTGTCTACGAGAACCTGTTGATACGAGAGACACACTTTCCCAAGGCCAGCGAAACCAACCATGAAGTCGAAACGTGGGTGGATTCCGTCATGGACAACTGGCGCCTCCTCTGCGGTCCCACCTGGAGCGACGATGATCTAGGCGAAGGAGGGAAAGAGGGTGTCGCGCGAGGCGTGCTTGATGTAAGTTACTCATCTACCCCGAGAAGATCCAGTGACTAATAGTATCTAGATCCTCTATCGAGCAGCCACCAAGACGTACCACTCGACCCAGATCCTGCGCAACCTCTTCGTTGTCCACGCATCTCTAGCCGAGCCTGAGCTGGCATACAAAGCCTACGATTCCTATGTCGAGATCATCACGCGGAACAAGGATCGATCGGAAAAGTCAGGCGAACTCGAGGCTGGCATTGACGACGACAGCACGGTACTGAGGACTTCCGCCGAGGCTGTCAGGATGCTCTGTAGATGGGGATCTAGGCATGACGCCGAAAAGGCTCTCGAGATTGCTCACAGTATCGAGCACTGGTTGGAGCAGGCAGATCACCTTCGCTCAACGTCTGATACCCGCTCAATTGCTTCGAGCACATCTTTCGTCGAACCCACGGCCCTAGCCGCCGCCTATTGCGCCATTGGCATCAGTCAAGCACACTGGGCACGGCTCACTTACGAGGTTGAGGCACGGGCCACGATCCAGGCCAAAGCCGTGCAGTACCTCAGGAAGTCGCTTTCACCTAATCTCGGTGACGAGCATAATGTGGAAGCTCTGTACGCGCTCGCTTTGGTTCTCGCGGAAACAAGGGACATCCCCGGTGCCATCAAAATCGCCAAGCGTGCACTTTCTCCAGCAACAAAGGGTACGACGGTCAGTGTAGACGGAGTTCTATCGGATGGCATCACCACTGAATATGGACGCGAACGCAAGTTGATACCCGTGTGGCATCTTCTTGCTCTGCTTTTGACGTCACGGTCTGAGTTTGCCGCTGCTGAGAAGGCATGCGAGGCGGCTTTCGAACAATTCGGCGATCCTGCTGTCCTGTTCGGCCGTGACTCGGGCGCATTCCGAAGCGAACACCTCCAAGAGGCTGCCGGTCAAGAGCCTCTTGAATCTGGCATTGTCGATCGTATGGAACGTTTCGAAAAGAGCAACATACTGCAGATCAAGATGACGCAGCTGTCTCTTCTTGAGATCACCGATGGTGCCACCGCTGCGGTTGACGGATGTGACGAGCTCCTTGCACTGTACGGTCGACTGTTCGGCGATCCGGCAGCTGACAAAGTCAAGACTCCACCCGAACCTGCGTCGCTGGCGCCTCCAAAGACCGCCTCGGGCACACGAGGTAGTATCTTCCGCGGACGAGGGTCAGTCAGAACGACTCAGCAAGAAAATGTCGATCGAAGTAAATCTGTGGTCAGCTCCAAGACAGCCACCACACAACCGGAAGTGCCTCCTGCGATTCAAGTCACCGATGACAACGGCGCAGCTCCTACTAACGGTCATCACCGGCACCATCTGTTTCACCACCACCACAAGCAGGATGATGGTCAGGCCGGCAAAGACACCGTTCCAGAGGTACCGCCGCTTCCAGAACACGTTCCAAACAGCACTCGTGCACGTAGTAACACTGCAAACTCAAAATCGCCTCGACGCATTTCCAATCCCAGCTCTCCGGGAAAGTCAATAGAAAAGGGTGACACACCACTTCCACCCGTCGCCCATAACCTAGATCACTCCTCTCCGCCTTTAGGCCACGAAGAACAACCACCCAGACAGGATACTCGCTTGCCTTCGCGCCTGCCACATGCTGACTACATACCCGCGGATCCCCACTTTTCCAAGATCCAAGAGCGTCGTCAGAAAGTCTCGTTGCTGGTCAGCATATGGATCTTCATCTCTGGATTATATGCAAGAGCGCACATGTTCCAGGATGCTAGGGAGGCTGTTGCCGAGGCATTGAAGCTGGTCGAAACATTTGAAGCTGAGGTGTCATTGGAACACTCAACAGCCAAGGCGCTCGCGGACAAGGGGTGGGGTGGAGGCAAGAGTGTGGAGGAGTTATGGGCGGACGTGTTCGCTGCTGTAAGTCTCCCAACATCTTCGATGCTACCTCTACTGACATTGCTCCAGCGCGCAGAACAGCTTGTGGCCCAATCGATGAAGCATGAAGCTCGTGCAGACTTTGAGCGCGCTCTACAACATTTCCCAGACCACCCCGAGGCCATCGTTGGTCTATCGAACATCCTTTTGGATATCTACAGCGAGGTCATACCGCTGGAGCCTGCCAACACCGACACCGTCTCCGCTCCGCTACAGTCATCGGCCTCTTCAATTCATACAAAGACGTCGACATCGAAAACACAATACCTAACCTCTCACACACCGTCAGTAGAGAACCAGCTCTCGTCACCCACGCTTACCCGTCTTGCGGCCCGTGACCGCGCATTCGGGCTACTCTCCACACTTACCAAGCTTGGTGCTGGTTGGGACTACTCCGAAGCATGGTACGCGATGGCTAGGGCCTACGAGGAGAGTGGGCAAATCGACAAGACAAAAGAGGTGCTCTGGTGGTGTGTAGAATTGGAAGATACGCATCCCGTGCGCAGCTGGAAGGTAGTCACAACCGGCGGTTTTGTACTATGATCGAGATTGCAATAATCGTACGTAGATTGGGCTGTTCGTATACCCACCCTAATTATGCAAGTTTGGATCTCCTTCAGAACCATCAATCCAGCAATCTCTCCACACTGACTGGAACAACGAAGTAACCCCCTCCCCACCATCCCATCCTGCCCGTGCACCTCAAACCAATTCCCCCGTCCCCAGCCCCCCATAATAAACAACCCCCCTCCCCCTCATCCCCGCACTCTTCACCCCCTTAAGCACACTCTTATGCACCACAACCTCCCTCATACCCCAGCCCTCCGCTCCCCCAGCCCAGCCCCTTAACACCCCACCCTCCCCATCCAAAAACCTCACTTTAATACTCAAGCACACCGTCGTCGCGTGGCGGCATGTAAACGCCCAGCACGCATGATACACCATGCGTTGCAGTAACCAAGACAGGTTTGTGTGGCCAGGCCGGATGCGAGCAAGATAAGGATGCGCAGGGAAGAATATCCGATACGCGATACTGCGGGGGAGGGATGTTGTTGCTGTTATAGGGCCGCCGGTGAAGGAGGTGGGTATGGAGATGAGGATGTTGAGAGGGGGGTAGGTGTGGAGGGTTGGTGGGGGTGTTGCGGTGGGGAGGTAGGAAAGGATTCGGAGGATGAATGTTGTTACTGCTTCTAAAACGCCTACGTCTGGCGTCGAATTGAGAGTCCACATCCTGAGCCTCTTAGCCAGCTGTTCGGACGTGATTCCGCCCTCTCGGTAACGCCGGATAGAACAAACTGTGAAGTCTCGTCTTCGCGGTTCTATGCGGTGGAAGAGGAAGGTCCAGAATGTGGGTTGGAAACGGAAGGAGTCGTGTAGGTTTATTACGCCGAGGAGGTGGTCTGCTGAGATTATTATTGTTGGGGCTGTGGACTTGATGATGGAGAGGTGGGGGCAGAGAATGTAGGATGCTTCGGTACGGATTTGGTGGTTTGTTGCGAGGACGGCGATGCCTGGGATTGTGGTGGTTACTAGGGTGAGGTGGTGGGGCCCGTATTTGAGGGGGATGGTGTGGTGTTGGGTTTTGGGGACGAGGTGCGTGAATATCTTTTGCCGGAGTTCTTTGGGGAGGGAGAGGAGGGGGAAGGGCTTTGGTGGTATGGAGGTGGACGGCGGTGAGGATGTGGGTTTTCCTGGCGAGGGGAGCGAGGGAGGTGGTTCTGTTGGGCCCATGGTTGTGCCGGGATGCGCGGGCTGTAGGATTTGTTGGTGTGGTAGCTGATGTTGCCCAGGTGTGACTCTGTAGTAGTCTGGTTTGAGGCGAGTAATTATCTGTCCCATTAGAAGAACGCGGAGTTTGTGATGAGTGAGACAGTGAGATGAAATCGTCTTTCACCAGTACAAGCGAGCAGAAGCATTTTCGTTCCACAGTGTTGGTTTCAGGGTCGAGGAGTGGATTCTGGGTACCACGTGTGTTCCAAACTATAGCATTGCTCTCCGAACGCGGAGTTACGAGACATGACTAGAATTCGTGTCGCATACGTGCTTTCAGAACTGTATAAGTAGATGCTATGATGTTGCATACTTCTACCTTGATGATATTTCTCTAGATGCGTGGCCAGACCTAATGTGGTCAAGGTCTTTGCTATGACCAGAACGTGGTGGTCAAAGTATTGTGAATTTGCAAGCATGATTTGCGCATCGATCTCACCTCGATGCTACTAAACGAAGTTGAACTACTGGTTGATAGGCAGCCTCCATGACTTGCTTAACATGGAGACGTGATCAACGTAGGTTGAGTGTCGTGCTGGACGATCGTTGCGTCTCCATGACTGACGCATGCATCGCCTGAAACCGAAGCTATCAATAACAGAGAGCGGAAGAGTTTCAATGTCGAATCGCGCACTCGCATACCTGGTGAAGGTGTGGGAGACGTTGATAGTAAGGCACGCGCGACGCAGACGCGTCAACGCCACGACCTGACGTCATTGGTCGAAGCGAAGACACCCGTGGACGAACTACCTCGGACATGAACCTTCGCGTCTTTCACCTCCGGTACCACTCATCTCAACACACTATGACTACTCCCTTGCTCGTCTTTGAGACTCAAACGAGGGCATTTCGCTTTACAGCAGTAATGTCTTCGACACTGGCTCCCTCAATCCCGCGTTGATCGCGTCCCGATGCGGCTTCCACGACTATGAGGCGCGATGGGAGTGCCTGCTAACGTCTCATAGCTCTTGCCCATAGTGACGGCTGACCTGGCAAGCATGAATGATGTAGCAGCTGTCGCAGAGCGCGTCGATGCCATCCGCAGGCTGGACTTGTTTGTTGACGCACCACGCCGAAACATCCCATCCATCCATCTCACCGCCGCCATCGATAACGCATCAGGGTTGTCACGAGACTATCAGCACGAACCATTCTTCTCCGCGGTATTGTTACTACTGCAACTCTCAACATGAAGGCCGCTTTCCTGCTTCGTGTGCTTTCGGCCACGTCGCTCCTCGTCAGTGCAAATACCAATTCGATCGATCACCAGCAGCGGGAAGATTCACTGGAGGGCTTCATCAAAGGTCAGCAGACCATTTCGCTGAATGGGATGCTGAAGAACATCAAAGATGGCATCGTGGTTTCTAGTCGGTCGGATCCAGATTGTACATGCCTCGAACCCACAACGATCGACTGAAAGCTAACGATAAAGACTTGTATACGTGGACCAGGACCGCCGCATTGACCTTCAAAATTCTCACCGAACGCCTATCCGTGACAGACAAGCCAAAGATTTCGGATCACATAGACGATTATGTGAAATCCCAAGACAGGCTACGGTTAATGTCAAACCCTTCTGGTGGTCACTGGTCTGGAGGTCTTGGTGAGCCCAAATTCTACCCAAACGGCACTGCTTTCACGGGTGCGTGGAATCGCCCTCAACAAGATGGTCCCGCACTTCGTGCTACAGCTTTGATCATATACGCCAAGCATCTGCTTGCAGAGGAAGAAGGGACCAAATACCCCTCGTTTTATCAGAGTAGAGTCAATTTCCAGATTTGGCCGATCATCATGGATGATCTCAGACACATTGCACGGTACTGGAACCATACCAGCTTCGATCTGTGGGAAGAAACAAACGGCTCATCCTTCTTTACCCTTTCAGCATCCCATCGCGCTCTTGTCGAAGGCATGGCTCTGGCAAAGACTTTGGATCGACGCTGCGACGGCTGTGCTTCTGCCGCACCACAAATACTATGCTTCATGGAGACCTTCTGGGGCATCAACTACATGCACGCAAATATCAACTCCAAGGATCAACGAAGCGGGATAGATGCGAGCTCTATCCTCTCTTCCATTCACGCGTACGATCCTCAGGCCGGGTGCACAAACAGTACCTTTCAGCCATGCTCTTCCAGAGCTCTAGCCAACCATAAGACAGTGACCGACGCTTTCCGCCCCTTATACGGTATCAATAGTGGCATTAAACAAGGCCAGGGAGTTGCCATTGGAAGATATCCCGAGGATGATGATCACGGCGGTAACCCCTGGTACATGACCACACTCGCGGCAGCAGAGCAGCTGTATCTGGCTGTACTTCAATGGCTGGATCAAGGACAATTGATCGTCGATGAGACTTCGTTACCCTTCTTCCAGGATCTACTGCCGAAGACCCATGTGGGTACCTATGGCTCTGGCGGTCCTTACAAGTTTGGCGACGATAAGGATTTCAAGTCGATCGTCTCTACGGTACGCGACTATGCTGATAGCTACATGGCCATCGTGCAGAAGTACATCCCCTTGGATGGAGGTCTTCCACAACAATTCGACAAAACCAACGGCATGGCTGTCTCCGCCGCGAATTTCACTTGGTCACACGCTGCCTTTTACACAGCCGCAAATCGTTACCTGGGTGTAAAAGGGCCCAGCTGGGGCGAGCCGCAGAACAACACCTTCGAGTTGTCGCAGTGTTACTGTCACGCCCGTGTGACTTTCCATGTCCGCTCGGACCCCAACAACGTGTTATTCGTTGTTGGTGACGTCCCGGAGCTCGGTAATGGAGAGACGAAGGACGCCAGAATGTTAACGCGAGAGTTTAGCCTTGCATCCATTGCATCCAAATCCGCGAACTACTCTGCGCAGATCGACGTACCCGCGTTGACACGGATAGAGTACCATTACTACATGGTGAATGGTGGTGCTCCCGAGGAAGAAGAGTGGAACAAGTATCGGTATATCAAAACCGGCGATTGTGGAAGCAACGTTGACACGTCTCTTGATACTTTCTTCTACTAGTTAGTCTCCTACTTTGAGTTTACGCTTTCTCAGACAGCATTTACGCTGATGAGGATTCGCTTTTGGCTTGGAACCTGGCATCGTCTCGTTGGGTTTATTTCCTTCTTCACTCCTACTTTGAGTCACTCCTAGTTGCTCAGCTTACAATACATACATGGCATTCTCATCAAGATGTTGGTCTAAAGTCCTTCTCATTCTTTTGCCCTTCCAAATCAGCGCGACTGAGCAACATGCCTCTCTACTGATGTAGGCGCAGTCTCTAGTAAAGGTTCTGCGACACCCTACATCCTGAAACATTTATGCTACACCCTCAAGCTGATCAGTTATCATGGCGATACCAGAGCGCATGAGCGAATCAGACTATCTTGTCTGCACCTTGTGTCAGCCTCATTCAAAAAGCTACTACGCGGCATGAACGTACCGTGACCTGCTAAACGCAGTCTTGCGGAACCCAAGCTTCGATCCATTCTCCGTACTCAAGGTCAAAGTGCTCGACAAAGTAACCAAATCTACCACCTGGAGAGGGGCCGCGCAATGGAACATACCGCGACACGGAATGAGCTGCAAACATTAGAGGCGCTGTACACACTCTAAATCGGATGTCGCGTCGTTGAGCCAGATACGGTCGCTCGGCTGCATCCTCGAATCGAAGCAAGGAAGCAACGGTTTCTTGACGGCCCATCGACAGTACATGCATGGCGTCAATGGCAATGTCAATCGCTCTGGCTCTTGGTCGCATTTGAGATAAATGCCAACCAGCTTGACGCGCCCAGTTGATTATAGCCGAGCTATTTGGATCCGAAGCCGAACTCTCGGGCCTAGCGGTCACGCAGCTAGATCCTGTCCTGCGCGCCTCCAAAAACCAGGTCAGAAACTCCGAAGCTGCCTCAAGAGGTCCTTGCTTGCGCGCAATGACTTCCAGATCTCCACATAGGACAATGAGTTTAGGGCCCGATCGCGACATCTTGGAAAAGCCGCCGACTACTAGTGCGCTGTTGCGCTTCGTCGCAGTGCGCGCAATGATTGGTGTAGCTTCTTCTCGGATGATCTTGGAGACAAGGCGTACGGTGGTGGGATACCAAATGCTAACGAGCTTAACTTTTGTGGTTTTCATCTTGAGACGTCCGCTCTCATTGTCCGTCTCGATAGTGATCTCGTTGTGCGTAAGACATGTCGGTAGGAACTCGTAAACCATGAGTCTGATGTCGGCGGGTAGATCAAGGAAGCGGAAGTCCATGGTTGCGGGCGGTAAAGGATGGCTCATGGCGGGTGTCGTGTTAGTAATTTAGGGGTGATGTCAGTTTCCAGCATTTGAAAAGACTAACTAGCGTGAATTTTGCAACTAGATGAAAGACAGTGAATGTGAAAGACCCTGACCTGATGTAGACGCTCTTCAGATTTAGCTTGTGTCTGCTGTCGATATATCGACGACAGTCTGGAATGACTCGCCTGTACGTGCCTCTGGCGCCATCACCGAGTCAGTAAACCTTGAGCTCAACCCCGCGACTTCCATCCGTCGCACCCCAACACAGCACAACATCACCCTCAAGCATGAGCGGGCCAGACGCATATGAACAGCACCGACAGCTTCGCACGTGATGATGGAGACCGAGATCGCGATCAAGCCTGCAATGAATGCCGCCGACGGAAAGCGCGATGCGACAAGACGCTCCCAGAATGCGGGCCCTGCAAGAGAAACAGGAGACATTGTCTCTACGAACGGCACAGTAGAACCCCATTGACGCGCAAACATCTCACTCAAGTCGAAGAGCAACTTCGTCGATCACAAGCTCAACTCGCCCGCGCAGAACAACGCGTCCAATCAGCCGAAGCGCGTGTGCGACAGCTCGAGACCGCCCAGGGCGACGACGCGCCATCTCCCCACGAAGATGCTGCCAACACAAGAGGCGCACCCGACGAACCGCCCATTGAAGTCTCGCTTGAAGGGCCGCCTTCTGGACCAGCCGACTTTAGTTGGGATGAACAATCCCAGGAAAGCGGTCCCGCCGAGACAGACGCCGCGAGCACACATACACATACTTCTCCCGGGGAAGACGAGCGCGTCGTTGATGGCATGGCTTCGCTCACCGTAGATGAGAGCGATGCAGGTTATCTAGGCGTTGCGTCAGGTGCTGCCATGTTGCGACTGCTCCTTCCCGACGCTCAGCAGTCTCCGCGGAAAGCGCCACCCACGTCCAGCTTCAGCACAACTACACCGGACAATGGGCACTGGCTGTACACAGATCTGTGGGATAGCCTTGATCTAGGAGCCGTCGATCTCGATGCCGCTATCAACGGATACTTCGGCCTCTACCACATCTCGTATCCTATCGTGGAGGAACACACCTTCCGTGCTCAATACGCCCAGGTCATTCCTCGCCCCAACGGTCGTAGCTGGCATGCGCTCGCTTTTATGATCGCTGCGATAGGCCATTTCACAACGGCCACTGGCCCGGCCGACACAGACAGGAGATTATTCACGGCTGCCAAGTCCAACCTGTCGATTGAGAGCTTGGAAATTGGCAACATTACCCTTGTCCAAACACTCACGCTCATGTCCAACTACCTGCAGAAACGGAACAAGCCAAATAGTGGGTACAACTATCTTGGTCTTGCCCTTCATATGGCCATTGGTTTAGGACTACACAAGGAGTTCAATCATTGGGATATCACCCCGCTCAACATGGAGATCCGCCGGCGCGTATGGTGGTCCATGTTTGTCTTCAACATTGGTGCAGCTGTCACATTTGGTCGCCCTCTCGCCTGGCCCAACAAGAACGTTGAAGTTCATTTGCCCTTGAACATTCCCGACAGGGCTTTGACTAATCTGTCACGCACTGCTCCAAGCGAGGCGGACCACGTCACAACGTTCAGTGCTGTCATCATGCAGTCCAAATTCCACATTCTGACAAATGACATATACACGAAGGTCATCTCGATGCCCTTTCCAGCCGCTACGGAGTTGATTCGTCTCGATGATACCGTGATAGACAGATGGCAATCCTCAGTGCCCGATTGGTATCGCCGTGGAGCGAGTATGCCCGCTCAATTCGCGACTAGCCATGCTATTATGTGGTGGCGGCTGAGCAACTTCAGGATCATTATGTATCGACCGTATGTCATTCGCCGTGTACTACAAGCCAGATCGCAAGACATAGACAATACTGTGCCGGCATCAGTGCAAGAAGCGTATGTCAGATGTCTTCGTGAAGCCGAGATGAGCATTGATGCCATCAGTACATTTTGGGCGAGCTCTCCGCCCACGCGGATGTCTGCATGGTACGCATTGTACTTTTTGTTCCAGGCTTCGCTCATACCCTGCGTGTGCTTGCGTAACGAACCTACTTCACCTTCCTCGGGAAGCTGGCGCGCGCAAATCAGGCGGACAATGCACACTATGCAGCTATTGTCATCAATCAATCCGAGTGCTCAGGATTGCCTGAATGTGCTTCAACGTCTCTGTGGCCCGTTCCTGCAATCTGAGATTCCTGGGCAGGATGCACACGTGCTCGCGACTCCCGCTGGCGACCTATTGGAGCATGCTACCGAGGAGTCCCCACAGACACAGATCAACAACGTCTACAGCATGATGTGGCCGAACGCCAATGATGCTGAGGCTGATGTACTGATGCAGGGGGGACTCTGGTCTGACTTCCTTCCGGACGTCGATGATTCAGGACAGCCACGACCGAGGGGACCTAATGTCTACCCCGATTCACAATTTGCATGGGGTTGAAGCACGATTTTGTCTCTACCAAGACACCGCACCAAATCTATTGGTTACAACAAACTACCAATCAACATGCCCTAGCTACCTCGATATGCTGCTTGTCGAACTTTTCTTCCTTTTCCACAAGATCTGCATCAGGCGACGCTCGAGGGCCATCAAAGATCTCAGCAATCTCCTCTAAGCTCCGACCCTTCGTCTCTGGAAAGAAGAAGTATGTGACCCCGAGGAAGACCACCAGCAAACAGCAGAAGACTATATAGTACTTCCAGCCCAGGTTCTCCATGCCGACCGGATTGACCAACGCCTGGATGACCAACGAAACATAGATGGAAAGCAATTCGCAGCTGATACCCTTCGATCGGAGACTGTAGGTAAAAATCTCAGTCGGATAGCTCATCAAAAGTGGCGTGTATGCGATGTCGTAGTGGAAGTAGAAAACAAAGAGGCACACCACCACGACATATCCGGCCGCTTTGTTGTTGTCCTCGTTATTGACCGCCGAGCATGCTGTCCAGACAATGTACGAGATTAGCATGCCGATGCCGCTCCAGAGGAAAAGAGTTCGTCGTCCCAGTCGGTCAACCAAGAGAGCCGCACTTACGGCTGCGGCGAAGTTAAAGATCTGCAACAGACCATTGATGAGCGTCTGCATGAATGGATCCGTTATGCCGATTGAGTCTAACACCAGGGTGAGATAGTAGGAGACGACCCCGATTCCGTTCCACTGTGCAAATCCACCGACACACACGGCGAGGAAGAGTCGCTTCCGGTTGCCAGGGGTGGCAACAAGCGCACTCCATTGTACCAATTTGGCTGCACTCTCCTGTCGAATGGCGTAAACGATTTCGCTCATCTCTCGGGTAACTAGCGGGCTATGTTCGTCGCCACCAGAATGGTATCGAGCAAGGATTTGTCGCGCTTCATCTTGTCGCTCTTTGGCCACGAGCCATCTGATTACCGTATTAGTACTCATAAAGCTCTATGCAGGACTCAAATTTCATACCTGGGGGATTCGGGCAAAGTCCAAAAGAATGCAAGCTGCACTAGTGGATAACCAGCCTGCAAGATCGTCGGTATCCTCCAGCTCCAATTCCCTGAGTGGTTCTGAGTCCCAAACGTTGTCCACGCAGCCAAGATAGCACCGAGGTAGTACATAGTCCAGAAAGCACTTGTGTACTTGCCTCGGTGCGTAGGATAGGCCAGCTCGGCGATTAACATCGGGGAGGGTTGGACGACGAACATGCCCGCAGCACCCACGACAGCTCGTGATACAACGAATTGCGCCAGTGTTGTTGCTGTTGCTTGTATGATAGTCGCAATGATCACACCGATGAGACCGCTGAACAACACTATGCGCCGGCCATAGCGATCAGAGAGCACTCCGACGAACGGCAGCACGACTACGGAGCCGGCAGACTGTGCCGCGTTGACCAGACCAAGAAGCGCTCCGGTGGGGTGGCCAAAGTACTCTTGCCATTGGGGAAGCGACTGGAGTCCATTCATCAACGAGCCTATTGAGTGTCAGCGACGTTTATTTGTATCCATCGGCGTGGCGAAGCTATGCTTACCATCATATCCTGCCACAGCCGAGGACAGTAGAGGTACCAATAAGATCAGGTTCAAGCGTCGCAAGTGCGGAATTTGGAACCAGTACTTGTTGGTCTGAGGCAGCACCTCCGCTATGGCATGCCCAACGATATCTGCGTCTTTCATGGTTGCAACCTCAATAACGGTGGATACAACAGTCGGGAGAAGTCTTCTGATCAATCGGCAAGAAGGCTTGAAACACGCGTCGACATCTCGGGTATATATACGGTCTGGCATGACCCGGCTACGGGGTATGCCCACAGCCGGCACATGGCTTTGTTACCCCAGGTTCTGAGCGTCGGTTCCTGCTAGTGAAATGCGGGTTGCAGCGACGATCGGGATGGAATGGGGTGATGCGCGAGTCATGCCGGGTGGACGGTCGACTGTCACCCCAACGCTAACTGCGTCATATTAGCCTAGCCCAGGGAATCTCGTTACGGGGCACAGTCAACCATCGGGTGCCTGACACTCCAGACTCGTCTTTGCATCCCGCCGCGCCTGTATTTGCTTGATGGACGAAACTCTGTCCGCCTTTCGACTCATGGCGCTATTCAAGTCCCGCGTGGTCACGCGATATCCCGATGCCGAAGAGATGCGCAACTGTACTCCGCGCACCTGAACCTGTTTTGAGCGCATGGCTCTGTGGCAGTATGACAATGACAGAATTACTATTCGATATTGGCACATGGGGTTTCCACCATCGTCACGTGGGGATATGGCATGCAACATCTCGATTCCACTCACGTCCACTCTTATTGCACGCCCTCTATGATGACCTTGAAAACGCCCTCCTGCGCAGCCTTCACTAGCTCGAAAGCTTTCTCGGCATCCTCGAACTTGAACCTGTTCGTGATGAGTTTCTTCACATCCACCTTGCCTGAGGCCACCAAGTCTATCGCATTGGGGTAGCAGCCAACCGAGTAGCGGATTGAGCCCTTGATGGTCAAAGCACGGATACAAGCCGTCGTGATGGGGAAAACAACGTTCTAGCGTTTCTCATTAGCAACTGAATAGCGAGACACGGTTCAGGTGCAGACTCACTTCCCTGCCCATCCCCGCCTGGACATAGGTGCCGCCCTTCTTCGCCACGTTGATGCCGGCCTGTATACACGGTTCGGCACCTGTGCATTCCAGGACGATGTCTGCACCCTCGCCCAGATTGAATTGCTCTTTGATGGCCGCAGCGATACTCTCCGAATGCGCGACGGGGTCAGCTCCTTCCTTTGCTCTCGGAGGTAGAAACACGCCATCTGCCGCATATGCTTTGGCAAAATCCAGTCTTGCCTGGGAGATGTCGACAGCAATGACTTTCTTCGCGCCTGAAGCTTTTGCGACTGCCTGCGACAGTACTCCGATGGGCCCCGCGCCGAAGACGACCACCGTCTGGTTCGCGCGCAAATCCGCAACCTTACAGATCTGGACTGCGACGGAGACTGGCTCGACCATTGCTGCTTCTTCCATGTTCATGTGGTCGGGAATCTTGTAACAGTAATCACTGGCAACAGTGTAGTACTTTGCAAGTGTTCCATCCCAAGGTGGCGTGGCGGCAAAGATGGTATCGTTACAAAGGTTGTAGGAGCCAGATCGGCAGTAGTCGCATCGTCTGCAAGGCACACCAGGTTCAATGGCGACGCGATCTCCCACTTGGAGGTTCTTGACGGCTGAGCCAACCTCTACGACTGTCCCAGAACTCTCATGCCCAAGGATGATTGGGCTGTTCAGGACGAAGTCGCCGATGCGGCCGCGCTGCCAGTAGTGTACATCGCTGCCGCATATTCCTGTCTGCGCAACATGGACGCGGACTTCATGCTCGTCGCGTAGCTTTGGTACTTCGCGGTCCTCAAATGCGACATCCTTGATTGCACGAAGGACGAAGGCCGGGTTCTGGAGAACGGATCAGTTGCAGACCAGGAAAGCGCGCTGCAGTGATCTGACCTTCTCAACGGTGGTTACGGAAGACATGTTGTTTTCCAAATCGATTGCAGCGACTCATTGAGTTCGACAGCTTCATCTTGTATGCCCGTGACCAAAATACCTGGACACAGGTCGGGTGTGACGAAGCGCAAGTGCGGGGATCGTGGGGTCAAGGGCAACCGTCAACCTGCGCGGGGTGTATCCCCAATGCACTAAATGACACCACCCCTACCCACATGATGTAGGTATGTTTTCCGAGCAGGTACACCCACTCCGATAAGAATCATCCGATAAACTCAAATCGCCATGGCGCGCCCATCCGGTTGCAATCCTCTTCTCTCATCGCATCCTTCCCACTTTCCACCTTGACTTCCATCGCCCACGATGCCTCTCGCGCAACCCTCCAACCCAGACGAACATGTCACATCCCAATTCTCACTCAAAGGTAAAACCGCAGCCGTAACAGGCGGCGTCCGCGGAATCGGGCTAGCAGCCTCCAAAGCCCTCGCAGAAGCCGGCGCAAACGTCGCTATCTTATACTCCAGCACCAAAGACGCCGACGCCATCGCCGCGTCCATCGCCTCCGCAACAGGCGTACGAGTACAAGCCTACAAAGCCTCCGTCGAGAACAAAGAAGAAATAACCCGCGTAATCAACACCATCGCAAAAGACTTCGGCAGCCTAGACATCGTCGTCGCAAACGCCGGAATCGCAACACACCACCCAGCCGAAGACTACACCGAAGACCAATGGCGCCGCATCATGGCCGTAAACCTCGACGGCGCATTCTACACCGCGCAAGCCGCAGGCGTGATCTTCAAGCAGCAAGGCCACGGCAACCTCATCTTCACTGCTAGCGTATCTGCCATCCTCGTCAACGTCCCGCAGAAACAGGCGGCGTACAACGCGTCGAAAGCGGGTGTTGTGCAGCTAGCGCGCTGCTTGAGTGTCGAGTGGGTGGATTTTGCGCGTGTTAATTGTATTTCTCCGGGGTTTATTGCGACGGATATGCTGGATGTGCATCCTAAGGAGTGGAGGGAGAAGTGGATGGGTATGGTTCCTGCGGGGAGGCTGTGTGAGACGGGTGAGTTGAAGGGGGCGTATGTGTTTTTGGCGAGTGGGGCGAGTAGTTATATGAGTAAGTTTTCTTTCTAACCTATTTGGATACCAGGTTGCTGACATGCTCGGATAGCTGGGGCGAATCTAGTCATTGATGGGGGGTATACGCTGCCGTAGCCTCGTCGTGAAGGCAAGTATCAAGAAAGTCAATCAAGTTTTGAGTCTGTTTTTACGAGATGTATTATCAAAGATAGCCTCATTATACGTCACCGGCTTCATCCTCGTCATCGCTCTCCCATACTTTATTCCAAATCTTTTCGATATCTTTCCCCTCGATAATCTTCCTCGTGTGAGCATCGACCCAAGACATACGCTCATCAACCGGGAGCCTACGATGATCAGGCCAACTGATCTCTTCGCAAGCGGCGTAAATATAAATACCAAGCTCGAACTCTTTCCTTGAATGAAAGGCTTGCTGTCCTGTGTGAGTCTCATCCTCGTGTGAGGCAATACGCGCAATACCATACGCATGTCTCGCAAGGTAGTCTTCTCTCTGGGCAAACCAGTCTGCCGCATCAAACCCAAACTGTTCTTGCGTAAAGTCAGCATAATAATGCTCGCGGTTGGCGGTAGTGATTGCGAAGACCGAATGCAAGACATCGTCATTGTGGTCTGGATCAGAACTGACATGGATTTTGGTGTGTCGAGATGGATAAATGATGACCCATTCTGCCGTCGCCCCTATGGGTTGAAGCGCCTCTTGGATCCATGACAGGAAACAAAATGCACTCCTGTCGCATTGGTCGAGCTTCATAAGGGCTGTTTGCAGATCGTCAGGTACGCTTGGTGGGAATGCCGCACGGCCTTTCGCGGTGGTCGGGTCTCCGTTTGGATCTGTTGCGATGTTGACATAGTAGTGGGTGACATCGCCTTTCTGAGCGGTAAAGAAGTTCTTCACGCAATCGTGTTCAACGTTCTCTAGAACAGTCATCCAAATCTGCCTGAAGGGCTCTATGATCGCTTTGATCTGGTCATGGTCTTTCAGAGTGGTTGGTTTGGTGTTAGCAGTTGTGCTCGCGGGTGTCAGCCCTACAGCTTTGAGTACTTTGTTCAAACCCTTTAGGCCCGACTTCATTGGTAATGATTTGCTGCGAGGGCGTTGAGGCATTTTTTCTAGTTGCGGTTCTGATGAGTGTTGACTGCTTCTCTCGGAAGGGCAAAGATCGCTTGGAAATATGACATGGCCATCACGGGTGAATTGGCACACTGGTGATGAAGCTGTGTGAGTAGAAGCTACATTGTGCATACACAAAGCTTCAGACGCGTTGTTCTAAGATGGATAGAGTTTGTTCAACATTCAACCCATTGCTGGTAAAAACAACGCAGTGGGAGAGCGGCCTGTTTGTGAACGGCGATATGTGTAGGTAGGTGGTTGGTAGACTGGTCGTGACATATCACTAGATCCAACATAGTTGAAATGTTGCACAGGGTAAATGCGGTGTAACCTGCGTCAAGGAACGATAAATTGTCGGCATGATACATTGGACGAAGTCGACTGGCATTACGGGGTGGGGAAGGTCCGGCCCGTGCGGACTTAGCGCGGGGTTAGCGTGCACCCTGAATCTCCTGCTCCTTGTCAGACGCCCTTCCTTCTTCATCCTCAACACCACACCTCACATTGCTGCCAAGAGCAAACGACGAAAGCCGCGACATCAGCAGCATACAAGCATCCACTTCGCGAACGCAACATCCTCTCCTGCCTGCACAGCCACGATCGCGTCTGCACGGCTTGATTGGCAAACGATGCACGAGACCCACTCGTGATGCACGTTGCGGTCAGGCCACAGCTGTAAAGCCACTCACACACAGCCACGGGGCGCAAATTGGGGCGCCGACATGGCTGTACGCAAGCTCCCCTGCCTTGGCGGTTATCTACGCAGCTGCTCATGATCAGTGTGTAACCCGATGAATTACGTGGTTCGCCCAATTTGGCAATCTCGTGTAAACAGTCACCGCCTCCAAGCCGGCACTCGGCACGGCATCATAGGGAATTCAAGGGCAGACGGTAAGACTCAAGAGTGGCCATGGCTTTCTACCGCTCCCATGGAGTTGCACAAGTGGTGGATCTGGACTACGCAATGCTTGTTGGCTTGGCAGATGGGTCACTGTGACTTCGACCGTCACCGTGGGGCTGCCGGTACTCGGCCGACGATCTTGCATAAAGCCCTCAGCTTTCTCCTCACACTGTGGAGTTCTCATCAACCTCACTCTTCGTCTCACACACTTGAACACTTTCTAGCCTCATTTGACTCCTTGCATCAACTCAGCTACCACCCAAACACCATCCACAATGACTTTCTACCACACTGCTGAGGACATTCGCATCGAGGACAACCATGTGTTGAAGGCTCGTCTCCAGACCGCCGAAGGCGAGTGGAATGACGCCGAGATCGACCTCAACACCTGCATCGGCAACGACAACGGTAGGAATGACATTCATCCTCGACACGATATTGGTATCGATACTGATCTAACCAGGCAACTTCCACTGGGATGGCGAGGGCTTTGCCAACTCTGCCGAGAACATCGAGTTCGCACTTGAAGGAGACGGCGACGTCCCCGTCCTCCGTGCCACACTCTTCGACGCCGATGGCAACCCCGAGACTCGCGACATCAACTTGGGCGAGCGCATCGTAAACAACGACGGCAACTTTCACTACGGTATGCAGCAATCATCAGGCCGGTGAAGCTCATCGTTAACCAGTTCATCAGAGTAAGGGATCTGCCTGGTAAGCCTTGTATAGGTCCCCGGTATTGGCAACCTGATGAGACACTTCAAAGGAGGACATGGGCTATGAGTGCACCGGAAAACTCCCCAATGATATGAAATGACATACCAACTTCAACTTTACCCATTCTTTCAGCTACTTCGTGATGACTGTGCTTCCAACGATCAATTACTGTGGTACTTCCCATCCCCCTTTCGGTTCTATTTACTCACAGGGTAGGCGATGTACGTATCTGGCCATTCACTGGTACTTTCTTTCAACTCCCCCAAGTACCTCCACACATCCCGTGACCTTAAGTCACGTTGTTGCCTAGTAGCTTCGACTCCACTATCAAGGCTGAACAAAGTTCCGAAAGTGGGTTCTAGTTCCTGGATCACTAGACAACAAGTCGACCGCACAAAAGATCTGCTGCTCAGCAACTAGTCGTACTCGCATCGCCAGTTCAAAGCCCACTATAACCGAATCCACGTCTCTCGCATCATGGAAACTCCACAATAGGTTCGTCGACATCGTTCGCAGCGACGTCAGTCCTATCTTAGACCTCATCCCCTCATACAACACCCTCGAGTTTGACTACAACGCGACCGAAAACACCGTCGCACTGCACATGGGCGAATACGGCGACAGCGAAATCCTAGCACATTCCAACGGCTCCGTATCCAAGCGCGTAGTTCGCGACTCTAAGATCCGCAAAGCAGGTACCGTCTTGGAAGTCAACAGGCCAATGAGTGGTCAGTTCAAAGCCATCGCGCCGTTTGGCTGGAGCGAGACTATGCAGCAGGGTATTGTCACGCCGATGAGCGCGCCGGCACATGCGCTTGTGCTGATGTATATGCATATCTGGGTTCTTAAGACAAACAAGGAGGATGTTGAGTTACCTATACCGAGGTATCAAAGTTTGTATGATGCGCTAGTTTTGATTCGGAACGCGCTGGATACGGAGTTAGTATTGCCGGTTGGGCAGCGCAAGGTTCCCGCGGAGGTGTTAGCTGCCTATCAGAACCAAGCTGTCGATAGGTCTCAGTCACTTGAGAAAGAAGAGCTTCAGAAAGAATAACACCTGGTTTGATGTCATGGAGCTGATGTACTTCGGGACTTCGTTATACGACCCTTGCTACCCAATGCGCAAAAAGAAACTAACGAGTTGGTATCAATTTATCCTCAGCAGATGCTGCGCCGCGTACTCTAATAGTACTTGCG